AGCTCAATTTTAAACACATTTAAGTATTATGAATCAAATCTAAAACATTTTCCGCCACCTTTTCCAAAGATTTTAATCTCCACAATTAACATTATTTACGATTATTATGTAAATCCCAAATCTCCAGGCGATCCCGAGATAATGTGAGACAAAAATTTAAATTCCGATTTGGTTCGTAGGAGTCATATGTCATACCCTCTTCATACAGCCTCGCAGATCTTACTAACGCGATAAAATTGTTAGAGGGTCGAGTGGAGACCTCAGTAAGGATATTTTTCGTGTAAATTCTTCTTATGTCAGCTCTTAGTGTGTCAATGTAATTTCCTTTTTCTGAAAGTCTGCATTATTTATGGGACTTCCTATTTTTAAAACCCAACTAAATCTGTAGCTTTATTTTTTCGGAGGAAATATAAAGGTGTGGATGCCTTTTCAGAGATTTGGTATTTAAAGTCACGTTAAGAATCGAGAGTTACAATGCTCAATAAATAAAGGTTAGTGATCATACTAAATTTTAGTTCTTTGAATATTATACTTAACGTTGTTTTAGGTGATCGTGTGATGTGACTAGCTACCTATTTATGGCAAGTTAGACCGAGGTTTGTGATATTACCGAACTTTTTTCCCCATCTTAATGCGTTAACAACTACGTAGCATGTTCGCCGCATAAATTCCACCATTAACTGGCCACCAGTTAGCCATTGTCATTACTCACTGTGATAATTTACCATATGTCACTCACAGCCAGCCGTAAATGACAAATACCTGTTTTACGGTAAAATCTAAAGCCATATTTTCACAATATAACACGCATTAACACTACAATAAACGCGTCGTATTGTGTGCGTATGGCTTAATGATTGCTCATTCACACTCAGTCTAGAGCATTTTTGTTTCTTTCAATGGGTCATAAGTTCAAATGAGTCGAAAGATGTTGTGTTGAGTGTGCTTTATACATTTTGATATAGCGAATTGCTTTTAATTTTATCGAGAATATAGATTTAAACTTCGTTTTGGGTTATTATTTACCTACAAGTTCCTCAAGACAATCTATTCAAATTGTTTCAGACTAAAAAAGTTATTTTCCAACCATGAAATCTCTACACCGTCCTCAACTTTTTACGTAACCGGTTTAAATCATACTTCCGATCGTTTTTTGTCGATTGTTAAAACTTCGAATAATCGTTTCGTCGATAATCATTTCGGTGAGCATTCGTTTGTCAATTAATTATACGATTGATTTATAAGTGCTAGTTGAATTAACGAATTCATGTTATGGAAGCAATAAAGGTTTAGCGCTGAACTCGTCAGTGCTTGAGGTATGGGAGTGGCGTTGGACAGACGCAGTGACAGAGTATACAAAAGTTTGAAATACATCTGTGTACCTACCATGAGTTTACGTTAGGTGTGCTCGCTAGCGAGTACGTCAAAAATCTCTATGAAGATTTTGTTTCTTGAAAGTAGCCACTAGGGGCGCTGCACAATATGTCATACAATTAATGTCATTTTTTTACGCAGTCGCTAGCGAGCACACCTAACGTAAACTCATGGTAAGCGCACTGAAGTCTCGCTGACGTATGACGTCACAAAAACACCCTCCGTAGTGCTGACACAGAATAAGTAATAGTAGCGAACATCAGCGACTGAAGATTCGGGGATTAGGTTGTGCTTAGGGCGAGTTTACATCTTACCTTAGATTAATAAAACCTAGATAGATAGTCAGTGCACGAAAGGTGAGGCAGTTTTTAGGGAGCCGGCACGGCTCACCCGTAAACGTCACATGAACTGTCAAAGTGAAAAATTGGTAAACACGTCCGACGAATTTTAATTAATTAAAACGGTTTGTGCTGTGAAAGGGTGTCTAAAATACATCAGAAAAACGAAAGAAAGTGACCAGTGATACATTTCATAAGTGAGTACTACAATTCGACGCGTATTTTGCTTGAATTTGGCTTTCAAAAATTAAATACGGGAATGATACCAGTAACAAGAAAATTTATTTCCCAATTGTTCGCCGTACAAATACACTTCCTTTTTTTATGAAATCGAGACTTTTAAGTCGATTTATCTTATTGTTACTATGTAGGTACTTTGAATTCAATAAATAAGTAAGTACATGATGCGTTTTGTTTTTGTTAATTATAAAATAATTAAAAACGTATTAAAAATTTCCCTACTTTCGGGAAAATCGCCTTCACTGTCTACACTCCCCAACAAAATTGACACTAATGACATAAAATTTTTGCCTCACTCTTGACGAAGCGTTTGTATGAAGACTATCCATCTAGGTTTTATTAATCTAAGGACAGAGTATACAAAAGTTTGAAATACATCTGAAGTCTCGCTGACGTATGACGTCACAAAAACACCCTCCGTAGTGCTGACGCGAACATCAGCGACTGAAGATTCGGGGATTAGGTTGTGCTTAGGGCGAGTTTACATCTTACGTATTCGATATCGAGTGCGTAAAAAATTACATTTAAATGTATGACGGATTACATAATTGTCATAATTGACTCTACACTCGAAGTTGTTGACAATTATGTATACCTGGGACAAACAGTCCAGTTAGGTAGGTCCAACTTCGAGAAAGAGGTCAATCGTCGAATCCAACTCGGATGGGCAGCGTTCGGGAAGCTTCGCCATATACTCACGTCCGAAATACCGCAGTGTCTTAAGTCGAAAGTATTTGACCAATGCGTGTTGCCAGTGATGGTATACGGATCTGAGACGTGGTCGCTTACATAGCTCGCAGAATTGCTAAAATCAAGTGGCAGTGGGCGGGGCACATAGCTCGTAGAGACGATGGCCGTTGGGGCAGGAAAGTTCTCGAGTGGCGACCACGGGCTGGAAGACGTAGCGTGGGCAGGCCTCCTACTAGGTGGACCGACGATCTGGTAAAGGTCGCGGGAAGAGCCTGGATGCGGGCAGCGCAGGACCGTTCATTGTGGAAAACCTTGGGGGAGGCCTTTGTCCAGCAGTGGACGTCATTTGGCTGAAAAGAAAGAAGAGAAGAAGAAGTATGACGGATTGTACAGCGTATAGCGGATACTTCCAAGAACTAAAATCTTCGTAGATTTTTTTAACGCACTCCATATCGAATACTTTGGATGTAAACTCGTATTGTATTGCAAGGTCGCACCTTTTACAATGAAGATGCCACAATGGTTACACAGCATATCAAATGTATTTGAGATGTGTATGATGTTTACACCCGTATTCACAAACAATACTTGCTTAAGTCAAGCAGCAAATCGAACGCACAGCATTAAATAGAGCTCTGTGATTGGTTCGTGTGTAACCCTGTGCGTCCACGCGTACTGTGAGACCTCATAGTAATGTTTGTGAATACGGGCGTCTGTAAAGGCAGCAGCACATCATACTATATCTACATTTGTATTGCAAGGTCGCACCTTTTATAATGACTTAAGATGTGACTAATGGTTTCACAGCATATCACACTGTCGTCTTTATTTATTAACACTTACGAAAATATATTTGATACCTATGTGTATGATATTAAACAGGCAAACCCATACCAAACCATAATATATTATGTTAAATACATGTAAGTATATACGAAACACTCGATACATTTTCTTCGGTACAATGAAGTAACGTTTATGGATATTTAATCACCGTATTGCGTTTCATGCCTCATGATTGCTTAAAGGCTGTAACTAATTAATGCTTTTCAGAAATTAATAATGAACCATCAATTGAACATCAAAAATTCATAGGTAAAAGATGCTCAATTATAAAATGAAACGATATTTTCGGATAATGTAAAGATTTCAATAAATCGAACTCATTCGTTTTAATATGTGATGCTTAATATTCGTTCCCGTTAACCATAATCTTGCAAATAATTTTATTTAATTAATGTTAATTTACAGCTAATGCAAAATTTAAATGAGCCAGATGAATTAGAGAAGACGTTTATTCAGCTTAGGTAGTAAAAGATTGAACAGATTTACTAAAATAGAGCTTTTGATAAAACTATTTTTTACTTTCACACTTTGATAGACAGTAACGCTGATCGTAGTCGGGCAAAAAGTGTCAATTTTGTTAGATCACCGAATTGCGTCCTATTTTTCAAGCTTAGTGCTGTAACTTAAGCACACCATTTTTTGGGGATTTGCATTAATACGATAATTTTTTGCTGTCCTTTCCTAGATAACGGATGATACTATGAAATCGTCAGTATGTACTGTGTTATTTCTATGGGAAATTGTTCTCACAATGATATGATACTTGTTTCAATTATACAGTGTTATCAATGCTCATGAAAAATAAAAAACAACCTTACTGTACATATGTGATGCAATAAATAAATGAATATGAATATGAAACAACTGTAGGTCAATAATGAGGTTAAAGTGCTAGAATTAAAAATCTCTATACTCTACTATCTTTATTATTTTGTCTGCAAGAGACCGGTACTTACCGATAAGAACACAAATTGTGTCATTCTAGTCTGTTCGCCGAGAGTTGATAAATATTATGAAATGTCTTGCAATAGCGACTGTCGCTTAATTATCGCATTCTGTATGGCGGGCGTCGTTTGTCACAACGCGCACTGAGTACCATGGTACGAGCCACGCAGCGCCCCGTCAAGCGCCCCGGCCGGCGGGCCGAAATGTGTGAAACGAAATGTGTGAAACGGAATAGATTTATTTTACATAAGACCGAAATGAATGGTATGACAGTGGGTAGGGCTTTGCCCAACATTGGGATACACTATAAGCCACTTGATAATAATGAAATACTTTTTATCCAACACATGGACGCCACGTCTTTGATCCGTATCCCCACGTATGCCCTAACCGGAATAATTCCTGTAAATTTAAAAGAGATAATAATGATAACCTACCAACTTTTTCATTATATCGACAAAAATAATTAGCGGGCCGCAATTTATAATGAGTTTAGAACCTCTGATATTTAATTTTTTTTATCAACTCTCGGCGAACAGACTTTAAACATTGTAGTGTTGACTTAAATAGGAAATCGACTCGTATATTGTAGTGTTGCACAGAAAGAGTTAAATTTCGTATAAGTGATATAAACGAACGTGCAGGTGTGTACCTACTGGTTTCAATGTTTGTGTGGGAGTAATTCTGGATTTAAGCAACAAATTGAGTTGCCATTAAAATTTTCTATGAATTTAGACGCAGCTTCCTTCAAATTATAACTGGACGGCATCCACAAGAGATACGCCCGATGTTGTTCGAACGATTTATTTAACAATTTATGGAGGCTCGAGAATCTGACTCGAACTGGATTTATTAAGGTAAGCTTCACAAGAATTTATTATACCGTTATACTCTAAACATCGAGTGAAAGAAAGCGAACAATAAATTTAATGGACTTGTTAGCACGCTTCGATGCTCGCTGAAAATTGTTTCATAACAATTTTCCAAAAGATATTTGACAATCTCGGGAAATTTAAAATACACAGAGTTTCGGTGCGGAATTGCGTATTTGAATGTAAAAGGAAATCTCCCAATGTTTGTATTCGATAGAAGGATTTGCAACGAGCACTAACTGTGAAACCGAGAATATATTAATGTATGCAGATCTTACAATCCCTCAGTATGTTCTTCAAATACTTTGTACGTCATACTTTATTTTAATTCTAAGAAGAATAGGTTCATGTTTGAAATATTTTATTTATTAAACAAACGAATTTCCTACTTTTAATCCGAACTAAAACTTCGACAAGTGCAGCATTGTCCAAAACTGACTGTATGCATTTTCAAACTATTAAAAATACTTCTTAAATCGAAAACTATTTTATTTTTTCAATTCACTGCCAAAAGGGAATGAAAATAAAACAAAAATATGAATACCCTTGCAAGCAAGAGATATAGCAATATTGATTCACAGAGGGTCAACGCTTGCGAAGTGAAAGTTTAAAAAATTCATAAGTTGTATGACAGTTCCCTCTGTCCGAGTTTTTAATCGTAGTTTATGGAAGAAAGTTTTAATTACAGCCTGGCTGGCTGTGATCATTTCCAAGGTTTTATACTTTGGAATTGAGAAGATCTAGCAATTTTTTTCTCAATATTTGCTCAGCTAGATAACTTTATGGGTGGGCGTAGACAGAGTTTGACGCACACAAGTTATGAAATGTCTGTTTATTTTTGTAATTATAATTTTATGAAATAAAATGCTACCTATCTACTTAAGAATTATTTGAAGTTAGGTATATCTTAGCCATCCAATTCCAGTAAAATCGTTTTATGTTCTTAGTATTCGTAGGTATGGACCGGTAGTTGTGGAATTTAGACAGTATTTTTTTATTTTTTTAAATTACTTATTTGAAACCTAACTTAAATGACTCGTAACAAATAAAACTTGCGTGATTTACGATAATCGTGCCGTGCGGACGGTGGGCAGATAATTTACATTGATCCCAGCGCTGGCCATCAATACGGATAGGTCAGCAATTAGTTCAGGAGCCACCGGGATATTTATTCCTTGGCCCCTGTTTACTGATTGCTGTTCACATCGAATGAAACTATCGGATGCGACGGAATTAATCTGCGGCTGTCTTGTAGGTAGTTGGAGGTNTAGGTACTTGAGGTGTTAACGGTTCGCAATCTCATAGAGGGATAGCGATGGAAATGGTTTATAAAAACATCTGGGTTCATTCATACATAATGGTGCTGAAGCCGTTTGGTAGGGTAGTCTATCTTATCATGATAAGAAATCTATCAGTGTTCATGATGTTGAAAGAGGCTTTAGCAGTTGGAAGAAAGAAAAAAATAGTAGAATTCCTTGGCCCATGTTTACTGATTGCTGTTCACATCGAATGAAACTATCGGCTGCGACGGAATTAATCTGCGGCTGTCTTGTAGGTACTTGAAGTGTTAACGGCTCGCAATCTCATCGAGTGTGCTGAAGCCGTTTGGCAGAGTAGTCTATCTTATCATGATAAGAAATCTATCACTGTTCATGATGTTGAAAGAGGCTTTATCAGTTGGAAGAAAGAAAAAAATTGTAGAATTCCTTGGCCCATGTTTACTGATTGCTGTTCACAATGGGTCAGAGTTGCAATGGGTCATTGCACTAAATAGACGAAGAAAAAATTATGACGCACCCACCCTAGTTTTCCGTAATGACTGAAAATCAGGTCAAAATCCTGTCCTGAAGTTATTGAAAGTATTCATTCCTTAAAAACATGGCATTTACAAACGCTTTGTTGGAAGGATTGTTTATTACACTATATTTGTTCACAAGAGCTTTCTATACGAACTCTTATTGTTCTCTATTATAAGGAAATCTTAGAATAAACAACAAAAATCTCGCAGAATAAAATATTATTGCGTGGGTATAGAAATAATAATTTTCACTAATGAGTTTATGTAAGTACTTCAGGCGCTATCAGTTTCTCTCTTTTGTCTACTCAAGATACAATAACCTATAAATGTATTATCAAGATACGAGTATACATAATTATACAGGGCTTCGTACGCGTGTTTGTAAGTGAAAATTGATATTTACTTAAAGAGACATTAGTGTGCCTACCATGAGTTTACGTTAGGTGTGCTCGCTAGCGACTGCGTAAAAAAATGACATTTAAATGTATGACATATTGTGCAGCGCCCCTAGCGGCTACTTTCAAGAAATAAAATCTTTATATAATTTTTTGACGTATTCGCTAGCGAGCTCACCTAACGTAAACTCATGGTAGGCACATAGGTAATTTGCTTAATTCGATACCTACTCCATATGGTTAATTATCAGAAAACTGGGTAAATTTTATCATAATTATGAATTAAGCATAGACGTGCCTATAGATTGCTATGATATTAATACTACGAAATAAAATATACATAGAGATACAATTATGCATGCATTTCCCTCTGAAGGTATTTGCTACACTACTACTTCGTACACGTGGACCCCGTTTAACCCCATAAGGGTGGAGTTTCGTAAAATCTGTTCTTAACGGGTGTGTACACCCTAGGCACCTACCTGCTTTTCAAGTTAGTAGAAGTTATAGTGTTTTTATTATAAGTCGAAAATCCTCTGGCGCAATCTACGAACAAAAGCTAGTAGCGACATAAAATCGTTAATAACAAATTAAATAAAGCTTCCATTCCCGTAATGACTTCTAAGGACTCATTAATCATCTATTTTTAGCGGAAACATGTGAAACTTCGGATATAGACACATTTACATTAATGGATGTAACTCGTATTAATGGTGTAAATGCATCATTAACGCTAGGTTCTTGGTAATCCTCTGTATTATAAATGTAAGTATACGAACAGATAATTCCACGTATTTGTCTTTTGTAGCACAATTATGATAACTTTAGAACAAGTCTTGGATTACATGTACGGTACATGAAATCGGATTTAAAATTTTCGTCGTTATCTAAGGTGTTACTTTGCATTCTTGCCACATTTATAGAGGTAGGTAACTATACATACAGACACTGAACAGAAATCAGTACAAAAAACAATATCCTAAAATTATTATATATTAATCTTGCGTATTTTATTTTATAGACAACAACCTGTATAGCACACACACTATATCAACTACATAAGGTCTCACAGTATAAAGTTTGATGTGCCATCGTCTATTTCTACTCAGATCTATACGGAAAAGGAAAAACTTACACGAAAAAAATCTGTCCTTTATTAGGTGTCCTTAAAGTCAGAGTCAAAGTCAAAATTTCTTTATTTGTTTAGACTAATAAATAGTTCTTACAAATCGTCATTTTGCTCTTAAGGAGCCTCTACATGTCTCATAATCTTTTTACCCTACCAGCGCTACGAGACCAACATTTGGCAAGTGCTGAGAAGAAGCGCCGCAACAAACTCAGTCACCACTGTCTGCCGGTTAATATAAATAAATAGAAATAGCAGTAGTAGGTAGGTACATTCTGACTTACTTGCGTAGGTATTCCTTTGCCTTAAAAATATTGCAAATAATAAAACCTAAAAGCTGATTCTGTTTGGCCCACTGGTTTGGTTAACTGGTAGATAATGCCATAACAAAATTAAGTTCACCTTTTGTATAGCAATTTTTGTAAGCAATAAAGCTTTAAATAAATAAATAAAAGCAATAGATTTGTAAAAGTAATAGCATCGTTGTTTCTAACGACATTACTTTCACACCGTGAGTCTAACAAGACTTAAATTAATTTCCAGGGAAGGTCTGTGGTTTCGGAACACTCGGCCCTACATCAATTTAATTAAATAGGTATTTTCTAAAGAAATAATTGGAAAGACGCAAAAAGTTTTTTACCTGTAAAACTTAAATTACAGTCTTCATTTTCATTATAATAACATAATTAACTTATACTTACTTCTAAGAAGCCATAGGATCTTAATTATATTAGTAACATCAACCAATATTAATTGTATACTTCTCTGAAATGGTTTTATTTCGGCCTGATTGACTTACAAATACAATAAAATTCTCAACGCAAAGATCTACTTATTATACCAAATCTAGACTATTTTGATAAAAGTACTATTTTGAGCAAATAAGTTTTTATTGTCCATTCAGAAATGATTTTTTTTATTTAAGTTACTTAAATGTAATTATATTAACAAATGTATACCAAAAAAATTAATTTATATTTTTAGATTACTACATAGATTTAGTATTTATTACTCCTTTACGCAAGCAATTTGCGTGATTGATTGCCATTTTATTTAAAACTCTATTCAAAATCAAAATCAAAATCAAAAATATTTATTCAGTTTGGACCACAAGTGGCACTTATGAACGTCAATAGAAAATAATAAAAAAAGAAAAAGGTAGCCCTTATGGGGCACTTTACATGTCTCCTTATCTTTTGGGCCCTACCAGCGCTTCGAGACAAACATATGGCAAGTGCTGAGAAGAAACGCCGGAACAAACTCAGTCACCACTTATTGCCAGGAATTATCTTCTATCTTATTATCGGCGCTAGAGTCGATATTCAACAAAAACCTCCGTACACAGTCATACTGTTAATATAATAGCAGAAAATATGCAATATTGAGGAGACCGAGGAGAGTTGTGACATAAGTAGTCGATTTTTGGAATCCTATTACCTACCAGCTCGCAACCGCGCGTAATTTGTTAGCTCGAGTCTTGAACTGAAAACGTAGACTGTTACGAGCTCGCTAGTGGTTAATAAGTCCAAAAAAAATTACAATGTCACAACTCTTCTCGGTCTCCCCTAACGTTCCTTATAAGATTACAGTTGACTGTTGGTATTTGCACTGTTACAAAAATAACATAGTAATCACGAAACACCTTATCCAGGTGGCAGGCAGTGGCCACGCTTAATATTTTGTGAAAGATCTGTCGGCCATTGGTTAAACTTGTGACGCCATGTCAGCCACAGTAATTGAATCTTGTGGGTCCAGCTTAGGGTTCTCACATACAAGTAACAACTAGTGTTTATTTGCTTTTCCAATTTTTCACGTAAGAGGAAGATTGGTAAATTATTTGTCCAAAAACATGGACGGAAACACATTAAACATGGATCAAAACGTTCCATAGCATTTTTAAGCAATTATGAAAATATTTGATTCTACAAATATCACCTAACCATAATATATCTTAAGGCTNGGTAATAACATTTTTTCACGAAATATTCCTTTAGTGCTTCCGTTCTCTATATTTGAAAGATTATTGTAGAAAGATTAAGATTATCAGATAACGCCCTAAAATCCGATTAGTTTTCATTAATCAAAGGATAAATATTAAATTGATTTGGTAAACAATTGACGGAAGGGTTTCTATTGCTATCCTATCCTACTAATATTATAAATGCGAAAGTTTGTATGGATGTCTGGATTTTTGTTACTCTTTCACTCAGAAACTGCTGAAAGGATTTTGATGAAACTTTACAGTATTATTGTTTATAACCAAGAATAACATATAAGCTATAATTTATGACGATCTGTGACAAACTGAATTTCACACGGGTGAAGCCGCGGGCAAAAGTTAGTCTTCTATAAATATAAGAGGAATCGCATTTCGACAGCTCTTAAACTCTGTGTAGGTACTCCAATAAATCGGTAGTGACTATTACCCAATAATGATATTTTTCTTTTTAGGAATCTTTCCAAAGAATCGTCAAATAAAATAACGTTCAAAAAGCCTAAATGAGGGCATTAATTACGGGCAAATTGAAGAGATACACAATCATATTAGCGAAACAAAGGCCACATTATGAGTGCGGAACCCTTTTGCGTGTGGCACGCACTTGACGGGTATTCCTTCATTAATTGCGCTTGCTTATTTATTACTGTATCCTTATCGCTATTTATTTATCCAGTCCATATTAATTACGATTTTATCAGCCCCTTCTATGGGTCTTCAAATATCAACATATCTAAGTAGTCGTGAATTTATTTTCTGTTCGTATTTGATACTTTTGCTCGTGAAAGTTTTATCGTAAAAAAATTTAAAACTTTTAGTGATTTTGTCGTACGAACTGTCTATTTTAAGAATCTTAATATTAATAATTTTCTGGGAAGAATTTATAAACGCAAAACTGAAACTTTGAATCATTTTGCATGTTTATTTAACCCTTTAACTGGTATAGAGAAAAATATTTTTCATTAATTTTGTACCTTATGTTTTCTCCATAAGGTTCAAAATATGGTGGCAACAATTCTGCCACTACCAGGTGAAGGTTTAAAGGAATTGAATCGGATGTAAACTTGTAATGTGACTTGCATCGAAAATGCCCATGACAATGATATCTTTGGGAACTAATTTTAAGCATTTGACCAGGCAAAAAACGCATGTTTGTGACCATTTAGCTCCACAAGCTGGCCACTTTGACAGTGACAGCGGACAGCGAGCGGGAGCCGCAAACTTAAAGCAGCGACCCAGTTAAGTAGGGGCCACCCGCTATTAAATTCGCTCGTAGCTCTTCCCAAAACGAGGAGTTGTGGGTTCCTATTTAGCCCCGTCGCTGCTCTGGAAACTTAAATATTTTAGGCAATAATAGCTTTGTGCTAATGCCTAATCCTTAAAAACTTTAATGCCCGACAGGGTCCATAATTGTACCTATCTTTCCTTACCAATAGCACCTTTTCTAAACATTATGGAAGCAATAAACTATTGAGTATTGAGTATCCACTTTCACGACAACGTACGTACAGACGAAGGCAAATACTGTGCCTTTTCAGTGACCATAATCGTCCGTGATTTTTCGTGTATTTATTACTACGAATTCTCAACACCATAAAAATTGCCCTAGCGGGATTCGAACCGCAAAAGCAAGCAAAAGAAGCTCCAAGTTCCAGCTTTACCATCATCTTACCAGAAATCCACTGCTGGACATAATATGCAATGGTCCAATTGACTTTCAATAAATTGGTCTTTGCTTTGCGCTTGCTCGTGCGCCGTTTCCTAAATTATCAGCTGTTTGTTCTTGTTCTCCCTCAGAAAACATATGTTCAGTTCCTAAAACACCCGACTGATAACAAGTCTCGACATGAACAGCTATTTACTTCAAACAAAATAACATAAATTACAAATGTACAAGTTGATTGTATCAGCGTTTAGTTGCTGAACATCCTTATTGGTTTGCGCAACAAAGTTTGCGGAAACGTGATCAGTATGTTGATCTATTCTCTAATTTCTTGTAACTAAGTGGAACTACAAGTTGGACAAGATTGTTCCCGTAAACTTTTGCCCGAGATAGTTTGGTCCGGTTGAGATTTTTACTGATATTTTCTGATGGAAATAATGTATCTGTCGGTACTCCCTTGATTACAAAGCATTTATAAAGATTGATTTTTACATAAGGATACATTTGAAGATTTGTGGTGAGGTAATTCAGTGAGAATAATGCTTCTTCTCATTCAAGTGAAATGCACTCTTATAGTCAATCTGAGCTACTTCAGTTTCACAGTGTCACAAGGACACTGCTCAATAGGTTAATGAAATTAAAATCGACAAAGAGTAAAATCACTTTAACTAAAAGGTATTGAAAAATCAATGGTAAAACTCTTGGGATTTTTGCTCGTCATATTCATCTCGTATGAAAACTTTCGTGTCAAAAGTATCCCAACGATTTGATTCGAGTTTGTGTATGGCAACAATTGACTCCGCCATCCAGACGTGGTCAACGTTCAATGCAAAAAGGATATCGCTAAGTGAATACGCCCATATTGTTATAGAAGTTTGAGTTTTATTCCTCCAGCGTTTTCTATAAAATTCGAATTATCCACGTCGCGATCAGTCCTCATTTCCTTTGAGGAAACCTCTTTTGTTGATCTGTTTCTTGTTATCCCCAAGCAGATATTATTGTGGCTGACGGTTTAGAAGCTTTGCCAAGTTATTTATAATGAGCCTCCATTTCTTTAACTTTATGATATCTTTCCTTTGCTTACCTACATTTACCGTTCTAATGAATAAAAATGTTGGAAAAACCTTTACGCTGATTCATTTAGACGTAACCTTACGTTCCGGCTCAAAGGACCATTTTTTGGTTTGGTGATCATTTTTCGTTTGAAATACGAATAAAGCTTGTTAGATCAAAAAGAATATAATGATATTCCTAGGATTATCAGTGGCTCTTATACAGTGTGTCCGGGCTTNGTGACGATAAAATTATTTAGAAGTTATTTTACTATTTTTGATTCTAGATTATTCGTTAAAAGTAAATAACCATTGGTACTCTTTGTTTCAGAGAACTCATCCAAAAACACATGTTTTCGTCACCTACGAAAGCAGCCTGGTGGCTGGCTACGTTTTTCAGTGTTTTTGTCACAGGTGAGTTTTTATAAAATTAACAATCATCATACCGAAAACATATTATGGAAATACATTTCACAAACAACACTTCGTCTCCTCTTTTATTAATGGATGTTTGTTAATTGAGTGCGGTTGATTCGAATGTATTAATGATTTTCTTCACTAACGTACTATTGTCACACCATATTGATTACCAATGAATTATAATACATTTTGATATACAAAACTTGTCTAACGTGTCTATAGCACCAAGCTTTTAACAAAATATTTAAAAAAAGAATTAAGTAACTAGGTAGTTAAATATCCATTTAATGTATTTGACACAGATTATAAAGCTTCACTTTATATAGGTACTTTTAGCCAAATACTTACCTAATCGCACTTCGCTTAACGACACCGACAAGTTAATACCCGTCCGCGGTGGAAAATGGAATATTAATTTATTAGAAAATTCTGGAGAGTGGAGTTAAGAGCCTGTTCTTGGGCAAGCCTATAAAACCGACCAATAATAATACGGGCCCAGACGGTTATTAACTGGAAATTCGTTTAATAACACGCAATTGTTAAAGGTAATTTTACAAGGAATAAAGATCTAAAAAAATTGATAATACCAAAATTTTAAGATTTCTCGTTACATTTTACGAAAAAATTATACATTAGCGTCTATTGTTCTTTATTTGTGAAAGAAGTAGTGAATAGGGATTTTAACTTTTACATAAAGCTAAAGGTCGTTTAATTACAGACTAAACACCTGTCAGGTTTTATTCGACCTTAGAAGTTCAAAATTAATTAAGTAGGTAGTTTATACATACTTAGGTAGAAAAGTTTTGCTAAGATATTTTGACAAGGCCAAATAAAAGCAAGTTTTTAATCACAAAGACTCTTAAATATCTGTATTTTGCTTACTTATAAATAAATAACAAGACGCATATTTCTGTATATTTCAAAACCCCCTCTCAATAGTCAATTTCCATACTAAATTAAACTTTTAAATCCAGAATCATCGCCCCAATACCCCTAGTTCTATCTATGTAATACGCATTCCAATTTATTTTATGCTCTATAAAGATCCGGCTATAAATTCGGCGGTAAAGTTAATTTACTCCGGCAGGTGAGATGCCGATCCAGGCCGAGACGGAGCCGGAGTTCCTGCAGGCTCTAGAAAACCACACTGTGACGCAGGGCCGGGACGTGCACTTCACTTGTGTTGTCAACCACCTATCTAACTATAGGGTGAGAACAAAAGGACAACCTTTTGTTTATTTATTGTAATTTATTGCACACGTACCTAGTAAGTAAGTAGGTAGGTACTAGGTAAGTGTGCCGATTCAGGCCGAGACGGAGCCGGAGTTCCTGCAGGCTCTTGAAAACCACACCGTGACGCAGGGCCGGGACGTGCACTTCACTTGTGTTGTCAACCACTTGTCTAATTATAGGGTGAGTTTTGTTCTTTTGTTTATTAGTTGTAAGTTGTAATTTATTGCACACATACCTAGTAAGCAAGTAGGTACTGGGTTAGTGTGCCGTGCCGATCCAGGCCGAGACGGAGCCGGAGTTCCTGCAGGCTCTTGAAAACCACACCGTGACGCAGGGCCGGGACGTGCACTTCACTTGTGTTGTCAACCACTTGTCTAATTATAGGGTGAGTTTTGTTCTTTTGTTTATTAGTTGTAAGTTGTAATTTATTGCACACATACCTAGTAAGCAAGTAGGTACTGGGTTAGTGTGCCGTGCCGATCCAGGCCGAGACGAAGCCGGAGTTCCTGCAGGCTCTAGAAAACCACACTGTGACGCAGGGCCGGGACGTGCACTTCACTTGTGTTGTCAACCACTTGTCCAATTATAGGGTGAGTGTTCTTTTGTTTATTAGTTGTAAGTTGTAATTTATTGGCTGAGTAGGTGTTAAGAGTGCCGATCCATGTGGAGAAGAACCACACCGTAACGCAGTGCCGGGACGTGCACTTCACTTGTGTTGTCAACCACCTATCTAACTATTGGGTGAGCATTGTTTTTTATTTCTAAGTTGATACAACTATTGCCAGCTTTATTGATCGGCGTGAGAGTTAGTGTTAGGCAAAAGGTATTAGATTTAAGAACGATACCATGTCTCTCATAGTTTGTGACATACGTAAATGAGATCGCTACGAGGCAATCCCCGTCATCTCCACGTAGGTGCCTAGTAATGTGAACACATCGTAATGTGTCTCGAGTTGGATTTCCGGACTATTTGTAACATTTTTATACCTACAGATTGGCAATATAGTCCAGTCATTTAAGCTTAAATTAGGTAAGAATCTCGGAATTCGAGATACCCAGCTGTAAGTCTGTAAATACTTGATATTGATACCCTAAAAGTTGTCTCAAAACCTACATATGGTAGGGTGTAAGCACCTATTAAATTTTAAGGTCAAAGGTCACAAAAATCGGTTTTTTGCGCTTTTTTTTGGAAATATCTCATTTCCTATGGGTTTTTTGCTATTTGTATTTATTATCAATATTGTAGAATACTAAATTCTCTACAAAATTTGTTTAAAAAAAATTTTTATACGGTGAACCGTTTTCGAGATAGAGGGCGGAGAGCGCGCGGTCACTGCATCACTTCAGGTCAACTTAAGTGGTAACATACAGACGGACAGAAAAATTTTACTGATTGCATTTTTGGCATCAGTATCGATCACTAATCACCCCCTGATAGTTATTTTGAAAATATATTTCATGTATAGAATTCTGTCCGTCTGTATGTTCCTTATAGAAACAAAAACTACTCGACGGATTTTAACGAAACTTGGTACAATTATTCTTCATACACCTGGGCAGGTTATAGTATACTTAGGAATTCCCACGGGAACAGGAATTAGCGGGAAAATCCTTTTGTATGAAAAATCTAAACGCTTAACGGAAGTTAGACGCTTGAAATTTGGCATGTAGGTACCTTAGTAAACTNGTTTTTAATCACAAAGACTCTTAAATATCTGTATTTTGCTTACTTATAAATAAATAACAAGACGCATATTTCTGTATATTTCAAAAACCCCTCTCAATAGTCAATTTCCATACTAAATTAAACTTTTAAATCCAGAATCATCGCCCCAATACCCCTAGTTCTATCTATGAAATACGCATTCCAATTTATTTTATGCTCTATAAAGATTCGGCTATAAATTCGGCGGTAAAGTTAATTTACTCCGGCAGGTGAGATGCCGATCCAGGCCGAGACGGAGCCGGAGTTCCTGCAGGCTCTAGAAAACCACACTGTGACGCAGGGCCGGGACGTGCACTTCACTTGTGTTGTCAACCACCTATCTAACTATAGGGTGAGAACAAAAGGACAACCTTTTGTTTATTTATTGTAATTTATTGCACACGTACCTAGTAAGTAAGTAGGTAGGTACTAGGTAAGTGTGCCGATTCAGGCCGAGACGGAGCCGGAGTTTCTGCAGGCTCTTGAAAACCACACCGTGTCGCAGGGCCGGGACGTGCACTTCACTTGTGTTGTCAACCACTATCTAATTATAGGGTGAGTTTTGTTCTTTTGTTTATTAGTTGTAAGTTGTAATTTATTGCACACATACCTAGTAAGCAAGTAGGTACTAGGTTAGTGTGCCGTGCCGATCCAGGCCGAGACGGAGCCGGAGTTCCTGCAGGCTCTAGTAAACCACACTGTGACGCAGGGCCGGGACGTGCACTTCACTTGTGTTGTCAACCATTGTCCAATTATAGGGTGAGTTTTGTTTTTTAAATATATTTTGTAAATTACTGGGTGAGCACTATGGGTCGAGAACTCGAGAACTACACCGTGAGGCAGGTCTGGGACGTGCACTTCACTTGTGTGGCCAACCACCTATCTAACTATAGGGTGAGCATTGTTTTTTATTTGTAAGTTCTAAGTTGATACAACTATTGCCAGCTTTATTGATCGGCGTGAGAGTTAGTGTTAGGCAAAAGGTATTAGATTTAAGAACGATACCATATCTCTCATAGTTTGTGACGTACGTAAATGAGATCGCTAAGAGGCATTCCCGGCATCGCCCGTAAACACACCGTAATATTATGTATCTCGACTTGGATTTTCGAACTAATCGTGTCTTACTATTTTAGTTGAAATGGAAGGCGAAAGTTTAACATCTTAAATATTTTGTAAGATTTTTGTACAGATTGGCATTATTGTTTATGGGATCAATAATATTTGGTTTTGGGTACTAGGACAAAACCTTATTGGAAAACCGGTCGTTTGGTTTAACATCCTTAAATTCATTTAGAAGCATTATACTGCATTTATAATGCGTCTGGCTTAAAAGCTTAAACCTTTTGTAGCTTTTTGAGGTAATAAAATAGTTGTGCTTTTTTATTTCAGGTCACAAATATTCGGTGAAAACTCTTTATCACTTTCTTATGTAATTCAGCGGTTTTAAACTTTGTTGTCCTGGAATAACCACACGAGAATTTTGTCTTTTAAAATACGTTAGAAATTCTTGTGATGTTTGAGCTACCACCTTGTTACATAACTTAGTTGGGTCGACCCAGAAGCCGACCATTTTCAAGTTTGTCCTAAACTAGCTACACCCACGCAACAACTAGCTAATCTTAGTGTAGTTATAAATACACTCGGTTCTGTATGAATGGTTGAAGTTCAAAGTGTTTCTGATACTTATCAGAGGGTCTATATTTATAAATCAGCGTTTCCTAATGTATTTGAGGTTATTTAAAGCTCGGTAAACGCTCACTGTCTGACCTTTGAAGAATCAGAAACTTTCAGTGAATAATAGAAGAAAATGATACGTTTTAAAACTATTTCGTAGTAGGTAATGTTAAGTACCTATATTTGTACAACCTAATTTTACACAGCAATCTTGCAGGGTTTGCTATAAATACACAATATGCTGACAGAGCGATGAAATTATGTTCCATGGCCCTATTACATGAGTGACCAAATGTCACGTGCTAAAAACAAATAATGTTTTTTACAATAGCAAAGAGCATAGCACTAAAAACAGCACAGCTTCATAACAAGCTTGAAGCTATTGTTCTCCGTTTAACTTTCCAAAACCGTATCAACCCTAACTGAATCTTAAACCATTCAGATCACGTACAGTTTTAAGTGGTGACTACTCGTGTGCTACATTGGCTGCTAATTCCTATTTCACCCAGTGTACTGCAATAATCATTTTCCAAGCCATTTTAGATAGTGGTTAAACTGTTGCTTACTTTTGAAGGTTAAAAAACTGCCTCAAGATTATTTAAGTAGGCTATTTACATGACTAACATGAAAAGGCCTTGCTTCTCAAAGTTTAAATCTCTTTAGGATTTTTACCTTTTATCATGAAGAAGATGAAGAGATTTACGATGTAAATATTCTTATAAACGAACGATAATGCCCGTCGGACTACAAAATATGAATCAGGTTGTTATCACAATACTTTGTTATTATAGGGGCCATCTATAAGTATCCCTTGTTGATTACCCCTTTCTAAAGCACCACCATTTCCGATTGCTTAATTGAACTCTACCAAATTTGACATACCTAACTACCACATTGGGAACCAATTCTGCCAAATTTCGCATACCGCATCAGGAGCCATAACCCCTAAACAGTCCCACAAAATGTTAGGTGAATCAATTAAGCCTTTGATTGGCCTAATTCACAATGTCTATTTACCGGACCTTCCGTAGACGGTCACGCCAATTTGGGCCCATTCAGAATATTCACCCGCTTTGTTAAGTAAGATTGCATGTAAGGGAACCCAATCACGTTTTTCAGTGAAAGAACTGATTTTTCTCTTTGAATCTCGTCGAATTTTATTCTGCAGCCGACGTTCGGAACAAAATATTCAATCAGAACAAACGGTTTTGCATAATGACTTCAGTAGAGGTTACTGTTATACTAAGTCTATTAACGATAAAATGATGAGTTTTTCAAAGTAGAAAGTGAACCAAAAAGCTCACAAATTTTTACAAAAAAGATCTCCAAAATGTTTTTACGAAATTATAAAGCAGTTTTAGAATCTTCGATAAAGTTCTAGGATTCGCGTCCGTTCGAAAAGCAATAAAACATTTTAATAAAAGTCCATGACAAGTGCGCTCGTTGCGGCCGCTAGCTGCAGAACAGAGGCGGAAATAATTCTCGCAAACAATGAAATTGTTACTAATTTATTTTCCGACCGCAACAAAGCGGAATGTCACGTGAAAAATGCTCAGCGGCGTGGATGGGGCCTGCATTCCTCAGGTATAGGGCCATTCGCACAGGCAACAGTTTCACTAACGTTTAGTTTAATGTTGTCGGTGAAAGAAGTTGAACAGTTTTGTACATTCGCTGCAGGAATTGTTTCATTTTAGTCACTGAAATTTGGGTTGCACAATTTCTGAAGCTGGTAATTTCCAACTATAAATCATCACATCTTTGGTCAAATATTTTTGTGAGGTTGGCAGATAAGTAGTACCTAAAACACACATACTGTATGCCTCTGAGTTGAAGACTTGTTTTATCACTCTTGTTGGTGTGATATCTATCTGTGAATGATTTAAGAGATAGAACTTACCTAAAACTTCTCTGGGAAGAAAATATCTTATTTGGAACTGTTTTGTCTGTAAAGGATACTTTTAGAACTATTATTCTCTAAATTACATTTTATCAAACATTAAAAGTGCCAGTATAATAAACAAAACAGAAAAGTTAAACCTGCATGCCGACGTAATTCGAGTTACGACATTAATCTTAGATGTGAAATGAAATTTGCCCCCGTATGCAGCGGCTACAAACGCTTTGTTGTGAAGACACTCGCTCTAATTGCATTGTTAAATTTAACCCCCACGTTTTGCTGCCAAATTGTTGAAATTCAACCACGAGCCGAGCAGCTATTAAGAACAATAACATCGTTGTGTCTGTCCTTTTGAATATTGAAAATGGTACTTACATGGTACATCGCATTCCTTGAATAAAGTTGTACGATTTAAAACTTTACCATACAAACTTTAAAACACATTTTTTGCGTAGTCTTGTATTCATCCGACGTTATAAGACGAAAATGTCTGCGGTTAAACTGGACCATGCATAAAATACTACCTCACATGTTGAGTTTCTTTGCTGTTCATATATTTTGGCTGAAAAATGTCCGGACAACTCTTTTACGATTTTTGTTCCATTCTAAACTGGTCTAAAACGCTGTAAATTCAGCTTATGAATAGTATATGAACGCTCAGAAAAGTGGCTCCAGCGTATGTAGATTTAGCCCAAAGCAACCGAAACGCTCCCAGACTGTTAGCCACTTTAAGCTGAATTTTACTTTAATTACAAAAAAGGGAAGAAGACTTTTTGACGCGGATGCTTATTACATTCAGAAATAAGCATAGAGTTCCGATTCCATTACGAATTCAGATGAACAATGAGTAGGGTTTCTGCTCGAGCTTTCTCGAACTCGAGAAAACTCGAGAAATTTGGAGAAAAGAAAATTACCGGAGCTCGAGAATTCTCGAGTTTCGATTTTGAAGCTTTAATATTCTTGAAAGCCTTTTTTCTTAGACAAAAGTTAGTTTTTAATTATTTAATAGGTTAACGTTGCTTTTAGACTGGCCTAGTCTTTCCTTCCTTCCTTTAACTGATTTGATTTGCAAGTAATGATCTCAATCGAAACTAAGTAATAATGTTCACCAACGAGTATGCTATATTTATTATGTATGTTTTAACTCTGACTGATATAAAGACTGAAAAATTTGTTAACTGTCTGTTAGGTTAGGTACTCGTGCCTCCCTCCGTCCTGGGGGACCTTTAGGGCTCGCCGTGTAGGCAATCGCCGGGAGGGACTGTGGTAGTGTAGGCTTTGTCCGGAATCCCACAGTTCCTTCCCACTTAAGGCGAATGACGGAGCACCGGGGTCTTTTAGTGGGTATGCCTTGTCCTTCTGACTTGGTGAGCCCCACATAACCTACCCTGTCCCCGTAGGGTAGGTATGCAATCCAATGCATTTTTCCCCAAAAAAAAAAGTACTCGTGCCTCCTCGTAAAGTTTATTCAAATCGTTATCTTTAAGAAATTTAAACATTTATTAAAAGTTTTTTTTGGTTTATAAAAAAACTATTTAACGTAATTTTGCTATTTGGACTTGTGTTCTTTGGAAAACAAGTGATTTAATTGTAGCTCCAGATTTTTATTGTTAACTAGCTGACCCGGCGAACTTCGTACCGCCTTAGCGTAGAGATTTTCTTAATATTTTTTTCCGTAAGAACCATCCTTGGACTTCCACAAACATTTAAAAAAAAGAATTATCGAAATCGGTTCAGCCGTTCACACGTGATGCCGTGACAACGCGAAACGGGTTTCATTTTTATATATATAGATTATCCTTAAAGTGCACGTGACTTTATGACTTTTGTTACGATTATTAGTTAATATTAATTATGAAAGAAGATTTTATTTTTTGTTACTTTCCTTACAAAAATAATTGGTACTAAATTCTAATATTGATTGTTGTGTAATAAAAGTAGGTATATTAGATTAAAAAAACCTGCGTTTTTATTAAATTTCGACCGATTTTAACAGTTTTCATTAAAAGACTCGAGATCCGAGAAAACTCGAGACTTTGGCCTCGAGAATTCTCGAAACTCGAGAAAAAAAAATAGGTCGAGAAATCAGAAACCCTAACAATGAGTAATTTCTTGAAGGGATTGATTAGATAGGTAATGCTTTGTAGTTGTGTGTCTTTTGGTATGTAGTATGTGACAAGATTTATCTATTAATTTTCTTCAGTTTCTGTCTTGTTTATTATTTAATCAGCGGCCACAATCCAAGTGAAAAACTAAAATAGCTATTAAGCTATTTACATGACTCAATCGAAACACAGCCTTTAGTACCACAAAATACGGTATCACATATATTTTTATAGTCTATATCCCACTTATAAATCGGATTTATAGCTCTGAGTTGAGAGAACTCCAACAAAGTAGTTCATCATAATGAATGTAATGGATGCAGATTATTCAAAGTCTTCAAAAGCGGATGAGAGCTGATAAATATTTTTTTTCGTTAAAGAATATTCACCATAACAGTCTTGCATCGGCGGGGTTCGACGGATTTCGATCTGGCCATTCCGGCACCTTCATCATTGGGCTATTAAAGTGTCGCTCCTTATTAATTTGTTCGGCAAACAGAATTTTTAACAATTATTGTTGTTTTTAGGTGGCATGGATCAAGTCAGACTCAAAGGCGATTCTGGCGATCCACACCAACATGGTGGCGCTGAACCCGCGGCTGTCCGTCACGTACAACAACCACAATACGTGGAAGCTGCACGTCAGCAACGTGCAGGCCAACGACTCTGGCACCTACATGTGCCAGGTCAATACCGACCCTATGAAAAGTCAGGTAAGTTTAAATTCTATCATCAATCAATTGCTACAATAATCTGGGGGCACGGCAGTGCCCCCACCAAGTCGAGCAAGAANAAAATTCGCCACGAAGGTGACGATGAGAACCGTGGCGATGAGAAATACCCATAAATATATTGACTTGCCCATCGCATGAAAACACGTGTAAATTAAATTATTTAGTGCGATGGCCAAGTCAATAATTTATGTAAAACGTTAAAGATTTCCTGGCCTGGACTTGGTATTACATGGATCTCACAACTTTTTACCGTAGAACAACTGAGTTGCGAGACTTGGTTTTTTTGACAAGTATTGTTTTTGATGGGTCTATACTGTCTCGGTCACGTACAACAACCACAACACGTGGAAGCTGCACTTCAGCAACGTGCAGGCCAACGACTCTGGCACCTACATGTGCCAGGTCAATACGGACCCTATGAAAAGTCAGGTAAATTCAAATTCGTCAACATCAATCGCTGCAGGAATCTTGACTAACTTTTATATGTGAAAGTCTCTGTAGGAACGAGACACGAGTACGCAGTTTGTTTTTTACCTACAAGTTTTAAAACACTGAACTTTTTTTGAACATAAGTAAGCAAAGATCCTCCAGTTCAGCTAAATATGTTCGTGTAATAGGAGTGAGTTAGGAAACCCATCATATACGAGTATCTACAAAATTCATTAAGTAGGCATCTAAAAATATTAGAACTTTTGAATTTAACTTTTAAATCCTACTTATTATGGACACGACTAAATAGAAATTAAAATAACTAAAGCAAGCGATTCCAGTCCGCAATTTACGTACCGCATGAAATTAAGTAAAACGTGATGATACTAAAGCAAAAACAGGAAACAAGTCCGACCACGCGCTGGACTCAAAAACCACCAGTCGGATTTTAATGAAACGGGACAGTTCTAAATGAAAACGCTTGGTCAACATCTGCAATAGAAATACTAGTTTGGACTAGTTATTGCTCGTTGGAGTTAATAACGTGTCGTATAAATCTGCACATGAACTGAAGCTTAGGTTTCTAGTTTATGAATGAGGATTTTAATTTGGCTTCGAAAAAGGCGAGTTGAAAATGCTTTTTGGAGAATTTACCATCATATGCGGCTGTAGAAGTTAACGACAAATAGGATATTTCGAATTCGTCCAGTTGATCAACTCACTTTTTGGGGCCGATAAAAAAGTGAATCACTTTTGAAAATCACTATTATTCAATGCCAGTCTTTAAAACCTGTAATTGCAAATTACCAAAATTACTTACTTAAAAACTGGGTGCAGATATTGACCCATCTTTTTACTTTGTGAGCGATTGCAAAAAACTTTAGTGTCTCTGTTAGTTAAACTTGTTGTTCTCTCTCTAGCCTATGCATGGCATTCTATTTCACTAGTAGATTATTCATAATCAACTGCTTTTCCTCTAGATGGGGTACCTATCAGTGGTGATACCACCAGACATCGTGGACACGGTGGCAGAGGGTAGCACTGCGCAAGAAGGCGGCAGCGTCCGCCTGACCTGTATAGCGACGGGAGAGCCGCCACCAACTGTGCTGTGGCGACGGGAGCACAACAAACCCATCGTCTTCAGGCATGAAGGTGGAAGGGAGAGGAAAGGTAAGTTATAGTTACTTAAGCTGGTACAGACCGACGACTTCATAAAGGTGGCAGGAAGGCGCTGGATGCAAGCCGCTACCAACCAGGCGATGTGAAAAACATTGAGGCCTAGTATGTTCAGTAGGTAGTGGATGTCCTGTGGCTGAAGTGATGATGATGATTATAAAACTGGTACAGAAGGGCAGTAACTGTCTAATTCAGCGGCAGCGTTTAGTCAAAAAGAGCAGCACTGAGAAAATCGGCAGCGTTTGGTTACAAAGATTGTTATGGGAGAACTGCCGGTGACTGTAATGTGAATAAGTAGATAAGATAAGTCTTTATTCTCTTTTTTGATCTAGGTACCTAAAAAAACCTTTGCCTACCTACATATCAATGTGCAAAATGCATGTAATACGTTGATGATATGTTATGATTTCTGTATAAACAGTTAGTAATACCTCTAATATGTGATAATTTACCGCAACACCTAATTAGATGCTTAATTAAACCACCGGTCATTATAATTAGGTATCGATAAATCGATTTAGCAAAAACACACAAACATGGCAATTAAGTACGGTATTTACAGAAATACATGATATAGTCATGTTTCGCAAAATGTAAGTGTTTCATCGAATCTAGTACTTCCAGGAATTTAATGATAGCTCCATCTTGATAAATTTAGTTACACAAGCCTTATAATTTAATAATTGTATCATAATTGAATCAATTTAGAGCCTTCGCTTTGTGGTCTAATATCTTTAGCTAAGTTTGTGACGTAATTGTCAAAGACCAATAATATGATTTACCTGACAGTGACGCAGAAAATCTTATCAGGATGTTAGAATTCATGTTAGTTGCGGTAAATGTTCAATGTTACCACGGTAGGCGGAAGAAATATATCCAAGACAACTAACTATATTTCCTGATTGTTTATAGTGAATATAAATATTAAGTACGAGTAAACATTTTAATTATTTTAATATCCATGTAGGTAGTGATGGAAACTATCAAAAAGAGAGTAATCCAAATGAGGTTATCCTAACCTTTGAAGAGTTAATTGTCGAATAGACAAGTCGTAGACTTACTTTATCTTACCTCACACCTTTCACAAAATCCGCACCGATCTTATATCGTACCTATAGCAGACCCAAAGGACTCCATAATTGGGAACGCTCACACATTTTATAAAGGTGAACAAAACGCTGCTCTTTACTACCTAAATTCCCATTCTGTGCCTACTTATCCTTATTATCGTAACGTCCTGTTAAGTTAAACAATTACGAGTTTACGAGTGAAATGGACAAAAATTTAAACAACTTTTCCCCGCTCAAAATTGAATAAGCCGAGGTAATAGGGCTGGAAGAACCATTTTTCTTCAAACAATTTTTGATTGTGCGAGCGGTTAACGTCCCGTTTGTGTTAAAGCCTGGCGAAACCCTGTTAAAATAGACCGAGCCCAAATGTAGACCCAAAGTAAGGTAAGTAATCAACTTAACTCGCTTGCTGAATCTCTGTGCCTGATATTAGGCTCTTTGACTACATTTAGCCCATACTGGGTGGCGAAGTCTCATAAGCAAGATTTATAAGTTAGTTCTTATATATGACCGGCGTAAAACACATAGGTTTTCGTAGTGCAGTGGTTTTGTCTAGAAAATTGTTTATTTTACATCTTACATTAAAATATTTAAAATAAAGTATTAAGTCTCACAAATCTTATAGGTAAATTTATTATTCTGTAGTATTCTATCTTTATCTACAACATTATTCAGTCCTGAAAGGGGGAGAAAGAAAACTTTTTAACAATTTAAATGAGTAATTGATTTCATTTTCACAACAAGAAAAGATACTCTATTTCTGATCATGCCCAAAAGATGGTGAATCAAGGAACATCTAGCAAAATCTCATAAATGGTTTCTCAGTGTGGCAGTTACCCTAGGCATATAGTCTTATTAATATAGTTAGGTACATGCAGCGAACGCTGAAGCAGCGGTAATAGGTCGGAAAAATCGTGAATTGAACGCTTCCCGGGAGCAGGAAGAAGGTTAACTCGGGCTGCCGCTAAACGCTCATTGTTCACTATACACAGTGTATAACTGTATACTGTATACAGTGTGTAACAGTATACGGAGTGTTCTAGCTGCATTTTAATTCACTTCATTAATTCTGCTGCGGTATCGGCTGTGTTTATGTAACAAACCTAAATGTAAAGTTGCGGTCTTTTAACCTTTTGTGCAGTCAGTTTTTTAGGGAGAGCACTTTAGAATTAATGAAAAACGGGTATTGGAGATACATTTAGGAACTAGGTATAAGTCTAACACATAATATTATTCGATAAGTACGCAGAAAGTAGTCGAATACCGAGAATTTAGAGGTTGTCTTGCAAACATATGATGTAAATCGACTTCTGTGGAACAGGGGTGAAGATTGTTCCCAGAAAATCATTATTTTATGTTTTTATATTTCGTTAACATGATGTGTTCAAAGAAAATGTACTTACTAAATCGTAATAAAGTTCTTTGAGTTAAGTTAGATTACTACACCTAACTTTGTTTTTATAAGATTACACCGAGTAATATTCCACTTAACACGTCATTATATTAATTCATTTTGAAATCTGTGTATTAGCACAGTAGGTACTTAGATTAGCTCATAAGTATACTGTGGTATTAGCCAACAAAAATCTGTTTCCTAAGTAAATTATTTTCTACAGTATTTTGCAGTGAATTTTTCAAACGTAGCGCAGTATCCGTCCACTATTCTAACTATTCGCGCGAAAGAATTTCTCATTTCACTCGTTTCTAAGGTTTTTAAAGGTGTTTAATGTGAACAGAGGGAGTGTTCGTTCATAAAAAGTATTTGATGCGAACAATAAAACAGAAACTGAACGGATCGGATTTTTATTCCTCGTAGTTTCGTTATCATCACTTGTTCGAAGTCTCTAATGAAGCTCTAGTAAGGAATTTCGTGTAAAAAATCGAATTGACTGTACCTACTACTGTTGGTCAGAATTTTCTTATAAATCCAGTATTGAACTTGAGTTCTTAGATTTCTATTGTTCTTTATAGTTCTTTAAGAATAATCTTGCTTTTTGTACCTATCCTTATAACGAATTATAAGTAAGTAGGCATTACAAACAATCTAACCTACCTACTTGATAATGGTAAATTTAATAAATTAGTTCGTTCGTTCGTTCGTTTCAGCCAAATGACGTCCACTGCTGGACAAAGGCCTCCTCCAAGGCTTTCCACAATAAATTAGTAAAATATGATTATTGTATTTTCACACTTTTTAAAAAAAAATACTAAAAATATGGCTACTTATAAGTTACCAAATACTAACACGCGTTTTAATTTTATGAACTCCTGATAGGTATGTATAAGTACCTACCAAAACGAAGATTTCAGCTTGCCATTAAACTGATTACAGTAACAACTTCGAAAGAAAACTTGATAATGCAATGAAAACAAAACTGCGTGAAACGCAAATTGACTTTCCAGGGACGATATGATTCGTCGACGAAGTTTATCCAGTTAAGAGGCGCGATGGCGCGGAAAATATCGAGCGCACCATGCAACTTGTTTTCTTCCACTTATAAGAAAACCACAGGGAAAATAGAACAGACACTATTCGAATAACTTCTAATATGCATAGATATCGTATCAGAAAAAACACTAATGGTGCGTCCTCATTGGCCCAACGGTCATCCTGCTCACCCTGCTCTTGAGTGAGCAGGATGTCGAGTTTGCCGCGCGAGCCCGGTCGCCCAGTGTGGACGCACCATAACAATTTACGTGTACTTGGCGCTATGTGACACCCACGTGCCCACTGTGGACAATCGAATAAGAATTCATGTTTTAGAATGCAACGCGCCGCGCCCGCCCCGTGCACTCGCGTGCAGTCTAGCAAAGCTTATGTTACGCTTATGCCCCTGTTTACGAAAACCAACCGTCTGTGAACCAAGGGCAGCTTGACTGGCGAGATGAAGTCTAAAGTATCTACTTAACTCAAAGCCTGCCTCTCGAGGTTTATCATCACCATTATCATCATTTCAGCCATAGGACGTCCACTGCTAAACAAAGGCCGCCCCCAATGCTTTCCATGTTGATAGATTGGCAGCGGCCTGCGTCTCTCACGAGGTTGGCAGTTACTTATTTTAGTTTTAACATGACGACTTAAGTAACTATAATGTAACTAATGTGCTCATGACCATACTCCTTTATCCATGTCTCAAAACACACGTTTTGTTGCTGTGGCGTGAAGCTCATGTGTGGTGACCCTAGTAACGTCACCTAAGTACGTTAAATTAAGCTTTCATAGAAATAATTTCGATAAGCCTAGTAGTTTCTATATTACGTCGTATAGAGAAATCGCTCGAAAAATGAGTGTCTGCTCTCTTTGTGCTACAATTTTTAAAATAACTTTCATCTTCTAGTTGAGATGATGTGCTTAAATAAAATCATACCTTTATTACTCTCACTTTTAAGGGTCTTTACTTTTTATTCCGTAAATATACTCGTAAGATTCTGCTATCATCATTAAATATCCTGTACAATGCTCTTCAATCCTAATCTAAACCAATTTACGAGTAAGAATGAGTTGTCGAAACTCTTGAAAGTCCAAATCATTTTTTGTAACTAGTTAGTGTGTCTGTCTATATCACTAAACTATCTACAAGTGCCTACATCAAAATACTTTTCCATAATGCAGCTTTCAGTCTTGTTTACAAAATTATCAGCAGTCGCATAGCATTTCAAAGTATTTTATAGATAGAAAAGCCAAAACTGTTAGAGCCAAAGCACACGATGCGTTACGGCGCCGCACCGCTCGTGTGCCCGCCACAAATATTTCTATGTGACGACGCAGCGACACCGCTCCGGCGTCGCACCGCACCGCAACGCATCGTGCGCTTTCGCTCTTATTGTCAATGATTTGAAATGTGCAAAGTTCTCGAATAAACATCGGGGCGGCACGAATAAAACCGCGCCGCATCTGGCTAAGCCTGGCTCTATACTTACTCA